CCCTCCTCATCTAATTTCTCTTTGTCAGTGGGTTGATCGATTGATCGTAGTCGTCGCGCTTAGGCCGAACAGATGGATGCGGATAAATCCATGTCGGAATGGGGTTTTAAGTGCTGATCTGGGGTCTGGGGTTGGGATTAAGGTTGGGGTTAAACTTTCACCCCAGTCGACTTATAGCCCTTTGGCCTTTGGTTGCGCGTGCAACTCTCATCATTAGAGAGCTCGGGAGTTCGATTCTGCAGAGCGGATCATGGACCCCAAAAAAAAAAGCATTTCGCATTTCTTGCTAGCGTAGCAACCAACAGTCAGGAGACACATTGTGACTGGGTACACCTGAATGGACCTCGGGTGTGAGTGTGACTGGGTACACTGGGACGCTAGCAAGAAATGCTTTTTTTGGTCCATGATCTTGGAAATTAGCAGCTTTCACCCCACTCAGCTTAGCCGATTGGTTGAGCGTGCAATTCCCTCGTGAGGGAGGTCATCATGCGCTCCATTCTTCAGATCGGATCATGGACCAGAAATGCAATGCAATGCAATTCTTCTTCGTCTTCTTTTTCGTCGTCTTCTTCTTCTTCTTCGTCTTCTTCGTCTTCTTCTTCTTCTTCTTCGTCTTCTTCTTCTTCTTCTTGCGGACCAGTGAGAGCTTGCTACCATAGCAGTTTTTAAACTTCTCCATGATAAGCAAAGCTTTCTGCACTGATCCCTCCTTCCTGCGGTTGAAAACAACAGCCAGGGACACATCATCCATGAACCGAACACATGCACCAGCCGCCGGTCGGCCCTCAATTCTCAGTTGCTTGGTCGGAAAGTCTGGTGGTGCCGCAAGGCGGATCTGGGGAGAAACCACCTGAGGAGTGCCAGGAGCGCAGCCTGGCCGAAACGCGTGGGGGAAATTGCGCGTTTTTTTCTGAGAACTGTACATGCGGAGAAGAAATGTAAAGCTGTTGATGCGTGTACGAGAAGCATTCTACGGCCACTGTTTTCACTCTTCTTCTTCTTCTTGTTCTTCTTCTTCGTCGTTTGGTCCATTTGCTGGTGCTTCTGTTTTCCATGGGTCGTGCTGTTGTGACGTTCTATCGAAAAAAAAAAATCTGCAAGGGACAAAAAAAACTCTGATTTTTGGACAAAAGAACAACTACCTCCAAACTGGACCTGAGCACCAATGGTTGGTTGATAGGCGGTGTCATTTTCGGCGATTTCTTTTACCGAATCTGCCACATTTCCTTGACATTTTGCTTTTCTTGTTTCCCCCTCCCCCCCTCCCCCCCCCTCTTAATATGTCTGTGCTTTAGGGTATATCTGCATTCAGTTTCGACGTATTTGGACCAGTAGCAAAAAAGTTGGCAAAACCAAAAAATATCTGAATTTAGAGAAAAAATTAGCGAACTCCTGAAGGCTACTATTGCGAATAAGGTTTTATAGTGCTTTTGAGATTTTGTTTTTCGTTTTTTTCTGCCTCTTTTTTTTTCTTTTTTCTTCATGTTTGTATTATAAGCCTGCATCTGCACTGTTTGTTCGGCAAATGTTTTGGACTGCATTGCCTGTGGTGAATGCAGCGAAACTGCATTGCCTGAATTTTGGCCTGTCCATTAACCATGTCTGAGGGGAACGGTAGATATGCAAGGCAAGCGAGAAGGTGTTCATGTTTTATACTTGCTGACTTAACGGGGGAATGGGAAACGGGGGAATGGGAAACGGACTGACGCTCCCCAGAATATGGATATGGAGCCAGGGCCATAAGGACCTGTGTTTTTTTTTGTTTTTTGTTTTTTTTTGTGTTTTTTTTTTAATAAATAAGATAAGAAAAACAAAAAGACAGCAACAAGATCCCCAAATGAGGTCCATAGCAGACAGGAAAAGCCCGATGAGTGAGGAGATAATCCCCAGATGACGAAATGTGACCCCTGATTAGTCGAAAATTTCGCACTTCTGATTGGTAGAAAATTTCGCACGTCTGACCCAGTTTTGTGTACTGCTGCCGAACAAACGGCTATAGCTACTGTGTTCACTCGAATATAAATTACGAGCATTATAGCTGTATCCGGCACAACTGTGAGTCTAGATTCAGAACGCTGTACTCGGGTGAACAGAGTAGGCATTTACTAGTATTTATCCGTAATCGAGGAGGATGGCTTAGGTTGCAGGGTCTCCCATTGCACTGCCGGGACTCGCCTAGCCTATACCAAAAAAAGGGCAAAAAAAAAAAAAAAAAAAAACCAGCTAGGCATTTATCACTTTTGAACGTGTCCTATGAAATGTGACTCCTGATTGGTTGAGCAGGTGCGAGGCTACGCCCGCTTAGCCCTTACGGGGCCCTATCTGCAACAAGGTCGGCCGCCCTAAGTGAAGGCAGGCACGACAGGCCCTTCGGGCCTCATTCTTCAGGGTACCCCATTCTTCAGGGTACCCCGCAACGGGGAAATTCAGACAGTTGCATTGCGCCAGTTGGTTGAATGAATCCAGGCCCTGGGCCGCCTGTGTAAATGAATGTGAAGCAGGCCTTGGGCTGGATACGGGTACCAGGCCAAACACAGGCCGAAAGCAGTTGGGCGCATACAACCAAATTAGGCCCCAGGCCTGCTCCCTTCGTGACTGGGCCTGTGCCTACTGGGGCCTACCGGAAGTTTCCTGGACTGGACGCAGGCAGGCCACTTCGATATAGGGAAGGGCCTGCCTCCTCATTCGGTATTCGGGTGCTGGCTGCATGCTGCGTGAGCACTGCTGCGCAATCCGCTGTCTGGCTGGCACTCACGCTCTCGCGGGCGAGTAGGAGGGAGCACGCAGCCATAGCCAAGCTGCGCTGCTGTATGCTAGGTGAAGCGCAGGGTGGTCCTTGGGGTGCTAGTGGCATCTGTGCGGTGTGGATCGGGGTTGTGAGTGTTACGAGAGACATACCTGGTGCTGAAGCGTGCGACATTGGTCGCCATATGCTTGTACCTCGGGAACGCTGTTGATGTCATCATTCTGCTTCGTAGTATAGGCTAGATAGGATCTGCCACCTGTAGTCTGGGCGCCGAGCGCCAATAGGATATCAACTCTGGTTCGTAGTTGATGATGATGGGACTACTACAGCATTGTCAATTTTGAACTCTTGGTGTGTTCTTATTTGGTGTATCTCGTGATGCCAGTCTG